GAGACCCCGCCCAGCCCCTTCGTGAGGCCTCGCTTCCTCGCCCCGCCCCCTAGCCGCGTGACGTCAGGGCCGCGCGCCGAGCGCCGCGTGGGAAGTGGGCGAAGATGGCGTTTACCGTAGCGATGTACTGGATGTCACGGTTCAGCGACCTTTAGAACTTTTGTTTTGTTTTGTTTCTTTGGTTTTTGGAGACAGAGTTTCTCTGTGTAGCTTTGGAGCCTATCCTGGCACTCGCTCTGGAGAACAGGCTGGCCTCGAACTCACAGAAATCCGCCTGCCTCTGCCTCCCGAGTGCTGGGATTAAAGGCGTATTTATGTATACATCATTCTGCTTCCATGTATATCTGCACACCAGAAGAGGGCACCAGATCTCATAACGGATGGTTGTGAGCCATCATGTGGTTGCTGGGAATTGAACTCAGGACCTTTGGAAGAGCAGTCGGTGCTCTTAACCTCTGAGCCATCTCTCCGACCTTTAGAACTTTTAAGTTCCCTTTTAACTCAGATTACTTCTTACGAACGTCTGTTAAGAAAAGTCAGGGGACGTGAAGAAAAAGTTTTACAGTTTTTCTTTTAGATTTATGTGTTTTGCCTGCATTCATGGAGGTGCTCCGCGGGTGTGCCTAGTGCCTGTAGAGGGCAGAGGAGAACCTGGCAAGGTTGTGAGCGGCCATGCAGGTGATGGGAACCGAACCCAGGTCTTCTACAAGACCAACAAGTTCTGTTAACTACCGAGCCATCTTTCCAGTCCCCAGAAAAAGCATATTTGGACATAGTAAACAAAGTCTCACATGATTTCTCTACCCAGAAAAGCTTGCATGTACAATACACAGCAAGGACTAGATGTCCCTGTGATGCTGCAACGTACTAAAGGGCCTTTGCCAACACAAAGAAATAAAGCTTAGGGTTACTTTGCACCACAGCATCTGACAGTTGCAGATTTGGAGAATGTGGGAGCCTCAAAGGTACACGTTATTTCTCACTGCTGTTCATAGGACAGAGGCTCTAACAGGCTTATGGCAAAAAAGTGCAAGTAGCCCTCCAGCCTCAGGCCCCCTAACTGATCTGTGGGAAGTGGTAATGCCTGCTCCTCCCACCTCCACTTTGCTCTGTAGAACTGGGGACTGTAGAAGTTCCTTGACTTTTGTAAAACTGTCAAAGTTAGGTTTTGTGGGGTAATTCATCAGCTTAAAGGAATATTATCTTCGTGTTAGCTTGTTGGCTTACTTGCTTTCTGCAGATTTGCCCAAATTGCATTTGAGCTATGTTACTTGAAGCACTAACATGAGCTTCATATTTTTGTTTGTTTATTTGCCTCTCTCTTTATAGTCTGTCCCTGCACAACGCTACCTGTATGGCCTCAGCCTGCCCTACCATTTCAGACATTTGGTCAGGAGTGTGTGTGTGACTTCCCAGCACTGTAATTATTAGTCATGTAAATGACTAATAGTCCAGTGCTGCTCTGGTTCTCCTGAGAAAATGAAACTGAACAAATACTGGAGGGAAGAGAGAGTCAGTGCCTGAGAGCCACAGTTAAAGCTTGAGCTTGTTCCTCAAGGCAGTCTCTCACTAGGACTTGGGGCTCTGTGGGTTTATATAAACTGTTAGTATGAGCTCTGGGGATAAATCAGGTCCTCATGCTTGACTGGCAAGCACTTTACCTACTGAGCTATCTTCCCTGAGGGAAAGAGGCTTTAAGGAATTTGGTATACAATCGTGGGGCCTAGCAAGCCTGGAAACTTGTAGGACAGGCTGGTAGGCTGGCAGGCTAGCAAACAAGGCACATTTCTGTGCTACAGTTTTGAGACTTCCTCCCATCCAAAGCCTACCCTTGCCCTTAAGACGTTCAACTAATTGGGTGAGGCTGAGTCACATTGTAGGGCCAATCTTCATTACTCAGGGACACTGACTTAAATGTCAATGATGTCTAAAATATACCTCCCACAGCAACATGCTAATAACCTAGTAGTCAAGCTTACATGAATTTAGCCATTAGTTTCCCTGCCTACAACTAAGGAAAGTTCTGGCCAGGCGTTGGTGGCAAATGCCTTTAATCCCAGCACTCTGGAGGCAGAGGTAGGCAGATCTCTGTGAGTTAGAGCTCAGCCTGGTCTACAGATCAAGTCCAGGACAGGCTCCAAAGCTACAGAGAAACCCTGTCTCGAGAAAAAACAAAAGACAACTAAGGAAAGTTCTGTATTACCAATGTCACCAATGTTAAAACTTGATCTGTTTCTCACAGCTCTATTTCTTGAGGTTCTTGGATTCTGCAAAGCTCAAGCATCAAAGATTCTGAAAATGTGAAAATGTGAACCTTAAAAGCTAGAATTTTAAAAACAGTTTTTTTTTAAGTTTTGTTTTATTTCTCTTTAGACCGAGTCACTGTACCAGAGGCTGGCCTACCACACAAGGCAATTCTCCTGCCTCAGTCTCATATTGGGATTGTAGCAATGTGCCACCATGCCAAGCTTTTGTTTTCTGATTTCAAACAAACCTGAAACCTTGATGAATGCCATCATCTGAAGAAAATTCAGTGTTTTAAAATATCATTTATTCTTTGGTAATTTTGTAAATGCACACAATGTATCTTTTTAAACATTTAAAAAATTATTTTATGTGCATTGGTGTTTTGCCTGCATGTATGTCTGTAAGGATGTTAGATTCCCTGGAACTGAGTTATGAGCTGCCAATGTGGGTGCTAGGAATTGAACACAGGTCCTCTGGAAGAGCGGCCAGTGCTCTTAACCAATGAGCCCCCGTTTGAAACATTTTTATGTGTATGAGTGTTTTACCTGTGTGTATATATGTATATAACGTGTGTTCTTGGTACCCTTGGAGGTCAAAAGAAGACATCAGAGCCCCTGGGACTGGAGTTACTGATGGTTTTCAGCTGTTATGTGGGTGCTGGGACTCAAACCCAGGTCCTCAGCACAGGCAGCAAGTACTCTTACCCTCTGAGCCAACTCTCAGCCCTACACAATTTATCTTGATTATGTCCACCCTCAACTCTTCCCCTGGACATTTCTCAACATGTCTCCCACCTACTCCCCCTCTGCTCTCCCCGACTCAGTGGGTCCTATTGGTGCTGCCTGCTGGACTTTTAATTGACTTGGTCTTGTCAAGTCAGTCACCAGCAACAGTGAAGCCAGGAGTGCAGAAGCCATGCCATGTGCCAAAGGCAGCATCCCACAGCACTGCACTCCTCCCCATCCTCCTGCTCCTGCATTCTTCCTGCCCCTTCCTTCGTGGTGTTCCCTGAGCCCGGGGAGAGGGGGCATGGTGAGGATGTCCTGTGCAGGGATGAGCAAACTCTTTTCAGCAAACTGCTTGTGAGTCTCGTGCATTAACTGCTGCCCACTACATAAAGAAGCTTCCCTGGCCAAGACTGAGAGCAGCACCACTCTATGTGTATCAATAGAAATATTTACAAGGCAGTTTGACAATGTGAGCATTTAGCAAAACAACAGTCACAGGTTCCCCCCAGGGCCTCCACAGCCATGGACTTTTGCTTGTGTTTATAATAGCACTGATGAATTTCCTCCTGTGAAGTGGGCCTCAAATCCAGTCAGCAGTAGTTACCGGCCTAGCTTTCATGGCGCTATTCTACCATTTTCTCTTGCCTAACAGCTTGGTGGCACAGCATTTGGAGTTCACTACGAGGTAAGACCATTGATGATTTTGTCCTCCAGCAGTTGGCATAGCTCCTTCCTTCCATCACTGTTAAAGCTAGCCAACAGGGAGGAAGTTCTCAGGTCACTCCAGCTTGAAATCCCTGTGTCCTACAACTGAAGTGTGTTGTGTCTTCAGCAGTAGTCTGACCATCTAGTTAAAGTGGGTGACCAAGAGCAATAGGAAGAGCCTATAGTTTCTTATTTAGGGCAGCTTTGTTTTAGATGGTTTGGTTTTGTGAGACAGGATATGGTTGTTTGAATAAGAATGGTCCCCATAGGCTTGTATATTTGAAAACTTGGCCATCAGAGAGTGGCACTACTTGAGAGGGATTAGGAGCTGTGGCCTTGTTGGAGGAAGTGTGTCACAGGGGGTGACTTTGGGGTTTCAAAAGCTCAAGTGAGGCCCAGTGTCTCTTTCTTCCTGTTGCCTGTGGATATGGATGTGGAGCTATCAGCTCCTTTTCCAGCATCATGTCCTGCATGCTGCCATGCTCCTTGCCATGCTGATAATGAACTAACTTCTGAAACTGGAAACCAGCCCCAATTAAATGCTTTATTTTGTAAGAGTTCCATGGTCATGGTCTTCAGGCAGCCCCTCTCTGCCTTCTCTCCCCAGAATTCTCCTTGTCTGGTAGCCCCGCCTATACTTCCTGCCTGGCTACTTGCCAATCAGGGTTTTATTCATCAACATACAGAAGGACATCCCCCACCAACGGTGTCTACCCACAGCAGTAGACCATTGACTAAGATAGAGAGCCTCATGCAACTCACGCAAGCCTTAAACTTTGTTGCCAGGGATCACTTTGTACTCATAATCCTCCTACCTGTGCCTCCCAAGTGCCGGCATTACTGGCAGGTGTCACCTATGCATAGCTACAAGTAAATTTTGCACACAAATTAGATATTGGTTGTCAGGGAAGTAAACATGCAGGGCTCATTAAAAACCACCACCACCCTCAGAGGGCAGACTGCTACCTGAAGAGACCTAGAGAAGTAAGGGATGTTTCTCCCAGGTTCATCATTCTCAAGTCAGCACCTCTCACCCTGCTTTGCCCATAGGGAAAAGAGTCCCTGCAGCAGGTTGGGGCTTAGAGGTTTCTAAATGACATTTGCTAGTGGGACAGGC